GCCTATCCATTGGTGATGTTGCAAAGAAACTGGGAGAGATGTGGAATAACACTGCTGCAGATGACAAGCAGCCTTATGAAAAGAAGGCTGCTAAGCTGAAGGAAAAATATGAAAAGGTAAGAAGTATGGATTTGCTCAGTGTAATGAAAGGGTATGCCAGATGTTAGATTATACTTGGTACCTCATCTCAGTTTCCTATTTTCTTGTGGTTTTCTAAGAGTTTGGGGTGTAATGCAGTTTTTAGATTAACAGCTACATTCAGTGTGCCATTGGCTGGCTATAGTCTTAATTCTTTTCCATCATTCAAAGAGTATAGAAGATCAAATAAATTGTTAATTTTTTTTTAACTTGGGTGCAGGGCCATACACTTAAGCTGGTTTTGTTATTCTCTAATACCTCCAAATTTGCGAGAATTTTGGTAGTCACTTTGAGTCAAATGATTACTTACTTTAAATGATCAGACACACGTTATAAAAATAGTCTGGGCAAAGTAATAAAGACTATATCCTTCTTAAACGTACCCTGAAACATTTATGTTGACTCCTTAGATAACCAAAGAAAAAAATCCCAACTTCGTTAAAAAAAAAAAAAAAAGTTCTAAGTCTGTTGATCTGTGTAAGTTGATAAAGAAAAAGCTGTGGCTCCTATACTTTGAATTGGAATATTAAGTTGAATTTTAGCTTATTTAGGCATCTGGAAAAATGTTGGTTTCTAGATTTTTCTTAACCTAATTGCAAGCTTACTGGCAAATTACCCTTTTTTTTTTTTTTTTAAGACAAAATTTTCTACTATGGATTAGGGTCTGGGATAAACCTGTAGAATGCTGTTTTGCATTCAGAAGGTGGCAGTGTCTACCCTTTAATCAAAGTCTCTACATTCTAGTTTTAATAAACTAAAGTTAGGATGTGGTACATAATTGTACTTCAGTGAGGCATAACATTGCAAATATTAGACCATGTTATTCTGTAAGTTATGGATTATTAATTGCAGTTATCTCCTAGTGTTTTTATATGCATCCTTCAGTCATTTATGGAGTCAGGGTGAGTCTATAGATGTGTGGTATTTTCGTGTAATTGGGATCTTGATGTTTTCATCAAGTTTTGGTCAAGTTCAGTGTTACTTTTATTTCTCCCTTTACTTAACTGTTTTGTCTTTCCTTCCACTTTCTCCTGCCGTTGTTTTGGAAGGATATTGCTGCATACCGAGCTAAAGGAAAGCCTGATGCGGCAAAAAAGGGAGTTGTCAAGGCTGAAAAGAGCAAGAAAAAGAAGGAAGAGGA